GAGATCAAAAGAACCAATAAAAATATTAAAAAAAAAAAATCATTCAAGAGTAAAAAAAAAATATATATTAAAAGAATATTTATATAAAATATGGAGAATTTAATTATTGATTTAAAAAATTAAAACTTTAATTTGTGGTCTATTTATTTCATTAATATTATTGAATAGTCTTATTCGTTAATATTGAAAAGTGAAGACTACTTATAGTTATCTAATTCTTAATTTTTAGCGAGCTCGATTCATTAACTTAATGAGCTTATAATTGAGTTCGAGCTCGGCTAGTTCATCATTATTAGCGAGCCGAGATCGGATATTAACAATCCAAACCAAGCTTTTACGAGTCGAACTATATATAAATACATGAAAATCATCTTTTCGAACATTATCATGTCGAGCCAAGTTTGCCTCGTTAACTGAACAAGCGTTAAATGAGCTTGAGCTCGGCACGTTTATCAAACAAGCCGAGTCGAGCTCAAGTCTTAACAAGTCGAGTTCAGGAGCGACTCGTTTAATTTAGCGGCTCTTGTTGTGGGTAGACAGATGTAACAATGGAAGTGGTATTTAAAATTCGTTTATCTATATATAATATAAATAAAGAGAATAAGATTTACTAAAAATAGAAGTAAAACATTCGGGAATATTTAATGTACTAGTACAACACCCGTGTATTACACGGGTGTTTCTTAAAAAATTATTCTTAAATTTTAAAATTAATGAGAAAACTAAATTAAATTTAGTTACAAAAAAAATACATTACTATATATTTTAGAATGATATGTGTTACTTATGACTTACATGTGTTATATTATATTAGTTGTTATAACTTATATCATATAACTACTTGAAATATAAATATATATTAGTTGATAAATAATTTTATTTTTCTAATTAATATTAAAAATAATTTTACTATTGTTATAAAGATAAATCTAAATTATTTTTTATACATACAATATGGATGTTAAATCGAAGCTCATTAAAAGAAGATTAATTTGATATATTAAATATGTAAAACTGATAAAAAATACAAAAGTTATTAACTTTTAAAATATATATACAATTCAATAGTTATAATAAGGAATGATATTAAAATACGATTAATACATGTAACATGACCATAAATAATCAACATATTTATGGTAATCCGAACTTAATTATTTTTGGTTTGGAATTAAATTAAAATTTATCCAAGCCTAATAGCGAAACATGTAATTTTGCCACATAGGATTCCGAAGCACCAGAAACAGCCACGTAGACTCAACGCGTTCTTTATTAATATATAGGGGGAGGGGGATATTCTTTATTTTTTTAATGTATCCATTAATAAGAATTTTACTTTTAGCATTATATATTCTGTTTAAAATAATCTTATTACAGCAGAAAATATTTTAAAATTATAATGATCATTACAAAACTAATCAAATTGATTGATAATAATTGTTTAACAATATATAAAATAATAATTATAATAATTTGTCTTAGGTTATATATATAAATGAGAATATAATTTATTTTTAAAGCATTTTATTCTTTACAACACCATCTCTTTATTATGATATTGAATAACTTATGAATGACATAAAGTAAAAAATAATCAATTTATCTTTAGATATATAATTTATAATCTTAATATATTGTTATTTGTTATAAATATTTAGTACAAGAAGCATAAAACATTTTATTTACAAAATTAATTATATTTAACAAAAACATAGATTTTTTTTATTCAATCGGTTGTTTATATCAGTGTTTTAAATGTCGTACCGGTGGTCATACCGGTCTAGCCACTGGTACGCGGTATTACCGGTCGTACCGGTAATATCGGTGGTATTATCGGATTAGAAAATATAATAATTAATATAAATATACATACAAATATATAAATGCACTAAAGTAAAAAAATAAATGACCATAATCATTAATTTCAACTTTTTAATTAGATAAAAATAAAATATTTTAACTACCAATTTAATTTTTTTTTAAATTAAAAAGTTTTATTTTTTTTTTATTTTTTTAGTTAACCGGTATTTTGGACCGGTATTTTGCGGTTTTTACGGTATGATCCCGGTACAAATCGGTATAGCCGTAAATCTGGTATTTTGAGTGTATTTGTACCGTACCAATGGCCGGTATCCGGTATTACCGGCCAGTACGGTACGATATTTAAAACATGGGTTTATATTAGATTAGTGCCCATGTTGATTGAGTTATTTATTGTGCATATTTAAAATAATTCAAGAAATGACAGTGGGGTTGATCCTGGGTGACCAAGTTATGGGTCAGTTTGACAAAGTCCAAATTGATATTGAAACGAAACAAAAAAGTTTAATATTAAAAATACTTCATACGATTAATGTTATCTAGTCTAAATTTCAAATAATTATATTAGTAATGCTTTTATGACAACATGTTCAATGATTTATGAATATTTATATATTATTTCATTAATATTTATGTAAATAAAATAATATTATCACTACAAAAAAAACTCTTACATTCCAAAGGAAATTTTCCGTTGAAAATTTTTATATTTCCGTTGGAATAGCTATTCCAACGGATATTCCTACGTATAAAAATCCGTTGGAAAAACGACCATTGGAATAACAAATATCCAACGGAAAATCCTATGGAAATAAATTCCTATAGCTATTCAACGGAAAAAATCCGTTGGAATTCCTCAACTATCCAACACTTATTCCAATATAAAATTAAGTTTGTTGGAATATTCATTGAAATTTTCAACGAAAATTTTTGCCGTTTGAATTTTTCGTTGGAATTGTAGTGTTTTTTTAGTGTATATTACAACTTTTATTAGTGTCCGACAAATTCAAGGTTCCTAGAGTCAGACTTTTATTCAACAAATCAAGTTATTTATTAAATAATTTATCAGTTAGACCATAATTTAATTTATTAGAATTTTAATATATATATTTAATACTCTTTGTAATGATTTAATTATTTAATATATTAATTAAATATATGGACAATTTAAATTTTAAATTAATTGATAAATACTTTAAAATTCTATATTTTATTTAAATATATAGTTTTATTATATTAAAAATAATTTTAGATATATATCTAAAATAATTTAAATAAATTTTGTTATATATAACAAAATTTATTTAAAGAATCATACCAATTTTTTGGCTAGCAAACATTTTATTCCCATCGTTCGATAAGTCGGATCCCAGTCCAAAATTAATTATAACTTTAAAGTTTTAATTATAGAAGTACATATTTAACGACATATGACTCCTCATAATTTTTCATACAGTATCACATAGATTAACCGTGTTAGGATCAACAATTCAAAACCCAGTTCTCCATCAAGCCCAACATATAAGCCCAAATGAGGTTCCATTCTAAAACCAATTGGCAATAGAGGGAGTAGCCCACTAAGCTTATATATTGACTTGGAAACCATTAATTTTCCGATGTGGGATTGAGTTTGCACACCCAACAAACCTCCCCTCAAACACAAGACCACATTGGGCCTCCCCTTGAACGAAATCCGATCATCTTGTACCGCCGTTATCACCCACGGAACCCGCCGCCTGACCACACTCATTCGTCAGGAAGACTTTCGACACAAGGCACACGGATCTACCGGCCCTTCCGGCTCCACGGGGAATATGCCACGTCATCCACATCGCAACTGGGCTACCAACCGTGTCTCTGATACCAATTGTTAGGATCAACAATTCAAAACTCAGTTCTCCATCAAGCCCAACATATAAGCCCAAATGAGGTTCCACTCTAAAACCAATTGGCAATAGAGGGAGTAGCCCACTAAGCTTATATATTGACTTGGAAACCATTAATTTTCCGATGTGGGATTGGGTTTGCACACCCAACAAACCGTACATGTATGTTAAGACGGGTAAGGCTACAATCCTGTTACGGAACTATTACGTGACGATTTGTAACCGTTAGATGTCATGTAGATAGTGTTGCATGTGCATCCAACGATCAAATCTCAACTGAATAATTCTGTAATGTGACTGTAGCATTCTCCTGTTAAAACACTGACATAGAATAAAATAAAATATGTTGGTATCTCTTTAACATTAATTCCAAATATAAAGAGAAAACTTTAGCATCTTATTTAAAAAATATAAAAAATAAAAACACACACACACAAATAATGAAAATCTACAACAAATAATAAATAAAAAAAAAACAGCTAAGCTAGTAAGTCTCCATAGCTTTTTTTTGGGTTTTACCGGTCAAGATTAGCACTCCAACAAATTGAACAAAGCTATCCCCTTTTTATATTTTTACAACTACACAAACAACACTATCCAAACCCATTTCTCTCTCTCCTCTCTCTCTCTCTCTCTCTCTCTCTCTCTCTCAAACACACACACACAAATACACAGAAATTAGAAAGTAGTGTGTGTGTCTCTCTACTTGCATCAGTCGGCTGTGCTTAAATTTGAGGTAAAGGTTACTCATGAAATATATATATATATATGTATGATACCTTTTTCTTGATCATCTCACCGAATTTGATCTGCTATTGTTT